CCAGCCTCTGCGCGGCTTCTGCCAGCCGGCGCGGGTTGGCGCGCGCCGCCGTCTGTCGCCGGGGCTCCTCCCCTTCGCCGAGCTGCCCTCCTCCTCCGCCTGTCCCACGCCCGCCCTCCTCGCAGCGCCTGACTCCCGCTGCCGCCTCCTTGGGGGCTGGAGATGCGACCCGGTTTACATCCGCGCTGCTTGGGCCGCCATCCGCGGTTGGAAAGACGTAGTTCTCTGTGCGCAAAGCGCCGGGGCGCGGGCGTGTGATTCGCAGCCTCTGGGGCTGGGAGCTACCGGAGACTTAGATTCTGCGTGGCTGCAGGACTCGGCCCTGTGCTACTCTGGAAGAGAGTTGGTGATAAAGTTTGGGCAGAAATCCCCCGGCGGCGGTTCGCTGTCTCCGCCTTCCCTCTGGGTAGACACCGGCGGCGGCTTCTCGCGTAGCCCAAAACACACCGCTCCCGGGAGCGCTTAGAGAGCCTGGAGCCGCACTCTCAGGCTTCTGACACCCTGCTGGTCCTTTCCAGCTGTTCTGTGGTTTCTCCCATAAGGAGGAAGTAATAAATCTTTTTGACCCCAGGGTCAAAGAAGATTTCAGTTTTGGGTGCTGGTGGGGAGCCTTCTCCTCGCTCTGGACAGTATAGACAGGGAGCGATTTCGTTTTTATTACACCCCCAGCAGATGCTCTGGCTCTTTCTGCTGTGTCCACTGTGATTGACGTCCTCCTGAATTGGGGTGATGGGGGAAGGGGCGATTCTTTGTTCTAATTTACAGGGAAAGGGAAAAAAAAAAAAAAAAAAGCTTGTCCAGATTCTTGGCTTTAGAAATGAGATCAAAGAACTTTACTCCAAAGAAACACAGATGTTGGAACTTGAAAGTCGTTGTTTAGTTAGTTTAGATTGGTTTAAGTAGTTTTTAAGGTCATGAGGAAAAGCTCCTCTTCCTCGCCCCTCTAGTGTCTAGTCTGTCTGTCTCTCCCCTTCCCCCGCCCCGCCCTCCTCTCGAAGATTCAACTTCATCTGTTAAATGGGGACAAATCTAATAGCCTCAGGCGATTGAGCGGTGATTGGACTTAAGGTTGGGCACGTGGACAATAAGACCCCAGTTCAGGCCCAAAAGACTCTGGGTTCTGCAGGTCAGCGACCTAGGGTAAACCGGTAAACCGGCGTTGTATAGTCTCTTGTCCGGATGGGATTCTTTGGACAAAGTTGCTATAAAGGCTTTATAGGATTCGTAGCTGCCTCTTTCAGGGAAGGACCTTATAAATTTAAAGTGCTGCTGTTGGCGCCATTGTTCTTCAGTGTCTTGCAGAATTTTCTGGTACAAGAACTCTTGGAAAGCTGCTTAACTCGCTTCCCGTGGGTTTGTAACTCGCTTTTTAGGGGTTTAGTTTCACGGTTGAAAAATATATGTTCAAAAAATCTGATTTAGTGTCATTTTCCAGGAAACATCCATAATGTCATGATAGAGTTGAGCTAATCCCCCCCCCCCCGGGTTCTGACAAGGGTCACAGATGAGGTGTTTCTAGGACAGATTTTGCCAAAATGGGGCTGGGAGGAGATAGAATTCAAATTTTATATATAGCTTTCTCAAGTAGCATAGCATTACTGTTGGGAATTGGTGAGGACACCGGAAGTTTTTGTCCCTATTCAGAGACTGGTAAACTTTAATTAGTGGCTTCCCATCTTTCTTTTACAGGGCCACCCTACCTCCCTTCCAATGCTGTTCAAATGTTCCTGTCCCTTCTTCTCTCCTCTCCCCCACTCCCCGTATGAAAAGTCTGACATTAAGAAAAATAATTTCTAATATTTTTTATTTAAATATCTAGATATGTGCATACCCTGAAAGCATTGAATTGCCATTATAAGGACCCTTTTAAAAACAACTGTTTGCATAGAAAACAATTTTGTTGCAATTTTGTAACACTTTACTGGAGTTGGCAAAATAGTAAATGCATTTGTCAGACGCCCCCACAGCCAGTGCTCAGCTGGCATAAATTTATAGGTTCTAGCATCTCCGCCCTCTCCAGCAAGTATTTTAACGTTTTGCACGATATCATGATTAATTGTGAACTTTCTGACAGCTAATGGCATACAAAAACTTGATGACACCTTCCTGCATTTGTTCTGAAATTTATTTTAATCTACTTGTCCTTTTAGCATAGTAATGACCCAGACCTACAATAAGTTTCATAACAATGTCATTCACAGAAGATCCAGTCATGCCACAGGGCTGTCCTCAATTTCAGCTTAGTGTTTGATTCTATCTTTTCCAGGATGCACCTTCAGTCTCTGCTGCCTGTGGCATGGGAAGGAGACATCTGTTGGAAACTTGCTATGGCTGCTATCTTATCTCAGGCACTCTAATGTTCTGGGGTACCTTAGGCCAGGTACTGCCTGGGGAAAATGGCAGAGAGATTTTCAAGGACCTTCTTCCAGAGTCTGAAGGGAGTATTATGATTTAGATGTGAGGTGTCCTCAAGATCATGTGAGAGACGATGCTAGAAAGTTCAGAGGTGAAATTATTGGGTTCTGAGAGCCTAAACCTACTCACTGCATTATTCCACTTGAATGGGTTAGCTGGGTGATAGCTATAGGCAGGCAGCATATGGTGTGCCTCTGGGATATATTTTGTCCCTGATGAGCCCAGCTTAGTTTCTCTCAGCTTCCTTGGGGTGATGTTCTGAGCTGAAGTCCTCCACACTGTTCTGCCATGATGTTCTGCCTCACCTCAGGCTCCAAGGAATGGAGTTGGCCTTCTAGGACTGAGACCTCTGAAACTGTGAGCCCCAAATAAACTTTTCCTCCTTTAAAATTGTTCTTGTCGGGCCTTTTGGTCACTGTGGCGGGGGTTGGGGGGGGACTGACTAAACTAAGAGAGACCAGGTTACCTGGACCATTCATATCCAGGCCTGCCTATGTCACTGGAAAATGTTTGTCCCTGGGCACCAAGACAGAGTCATCCACCAGTTTGTGTTTTCAGCAGATCTGAATTTTCAGTGGGATTTGAGTATACAGAATTGGATTTAAAATCCCTGACTTAATACATGCTGTCCTCTTTAGTGCAAGGATCTCTCTCTTTTTTATTTTCTATGTTTACTGTGATAATTATGTATGGACCCATTACACAGCCCAGGAACCTCCAGAGATCACCATTCTACTTAATTTAGCTTAGATGTAATGGTCAAATTGCAAGGGAAATTTTAACAAATACTTGCCTTAATCTCAAAAAGGAATAGCCCAGATAGTCCTGGGATTACCAAGGAACTGAAGTAGCCATTTTAAATCTTCCCCCAAGAAAAACAACAGGCTCAGAAGGATTTAAAGAAGGATTCTATCCAACTTCCAGGTCTAGATAGTTCCTTAGACAAACCCTTCCATGGAATAGAAAAGGGGGCAGTATTTCTCCAGCTCCTCCTGAGGGGATGTTGACTAGAAGAGGGATTTCAGAGAAGGAAATCAGTCCAATTCACTGATCAATGTATACATAAGACTCTTAAAATATCACAAAAATAGATCTAATCAAGTATGGATGGGGTTAGGGTGAGAGACAATACACTACCACCAATTTGAGTTTGTCCCAGGAACAAAAGGGTGATGATTAGTACTTACTAAGCACCTACCCAGTGCCAGGGGCTGGTCTAGCTCTGCAGGATATAGGTGTAAGAGAGAGACCTGGTCCCCATCCTCATGGAATTTACACTCCCAAGTGGGAGATATTCCATCCATGTGCATTTACACAAATAAGATTATTTTAGAGATTTGTAAATGCTGTGGAGGAAATAAAATAGGTCAATGTGCAGAGAGTGACTGGATGCAGCTATTTTAAATTGGGGAGATGATCTTTGCAAAGGGAAGTTGACCCTTGTGAGGAATAATGAGGCAGCCAGGTGAAAACTGAGACAGAAAGTATATGAGACAATGAGAGCAGAGTCCCTGAGCAGGAATGAGATTAGCTTGTTTAAAGGCAGCAGGAGTCCAGTAGGGCTGGAG